CCACATCAGCTGCCAGCACGTAGTTGTAATGATACAGTGATGAAGGGTAGGTGTGCTCCAGGTCGTAGCCCCAGGACAGTGCCGCCAACTGGGGCGTGTGTCTGCAACGCCCCCTGGTGTTCCTCATCACATTGGCCTGGAGGTTACCTAACACCTCAGGTAAGTCTGTAGCTGTGACTGAAGCTCCTGAGGATGCAGAAACAGGATATATGTCACCCCTGTAGCAACAATAACAGTAAAAGGATCATAATGGTGACTTTTGTCACGGAGTTTGTTGAGCTTTAAGCACCATGTTTTCCAAATAACATCCAAATCGGTTCTATAAAATCCAAACCAGGCCTCTAATTGAGATCTGCGTTCATTTGGTAAAAATTTAGCCACACCAGGCTAGTAAAGGAGAGCTGCCTCTAACTGCTTTTAAATGTTAAATGCTTAAAAGTTTTACTGTATACTATATATATATTATATATATATAGTATATTTAAATACAAAATTACAAGTAATAATTCAAATAAAATTGGCTAAAATCATATAATGCTTAAAAATACAGGACCAATACAGTGTTTTACACTCTGTGTTTACTCACTTTCTGTTATAATTTACTGTAATGTACTTTGTATTTTGTGTCAAAGCTAATATATCATGTCACGATCAGTCTTTCCATGTATTTCTTTGTATATATGCTCACCCAGCAGACTGGCCACAATGGTTACCAGTCCTGTTCCTGCTCCCAGCTCCAGCACCTCCTTTCCCTGCAGGTTCACCCTCTGCCTGTTGTTGTCCAGGAAGGAGCACAGAGCCAACGCCTGCAGGGCAAAGAGATACAGACCTTTTACTGTGGCTTGCCAATGTTGTTGCTGTACCCAACCATTTATGTAACTGACAATCTTGTACTCACTGCTGGCCACATCACAGCTCCAAAAGAGTCCATGGACTCATAAATGACAATGTCCTGCCCTGCGTAATGGTAGGTATCTTTACCAAGGCGAGTGATGATGCTGGGAACCCAAACTGGTGCTGTGTACTGCTGCACAGATGTTTGTTCGATGTGCGCCTGTGCTGTGAAGAGAGGATAGATCAAAACTGTAAACACACAATTCCACAACATAGTGAAGTGAAAAATAACTTAAAAAGAAAAGCTAATGAGTTTTATGTGATGCAATACATATCATATCAGTACTCTGGCAGGCACAAGGCATTAAATCATTTTGTATGTATAACAAACAACCTCACTGCAATGATAAAAATGAGTCCCAGCTTCTCTTCCTTATAAGTTCAGATACTCTACACCAGTGGACAAGGGCATTGGCCCTCTGGGTACGCTGATGACAGTTTATAAGCTCACATCTCAAATTTAACTCTTGCCACTAACCTTGCCAGCTACATTAAAGTCCCAAAGCTGCTTTTTCACTGAAGGGCAAGCTGCCAAACCACAAGACAGCAGTTTGTAGTTGAGAAACACAGAAGTAAAAACCAAAGAGAAAAAAAAGCTGTCCTACCTTTGTATCCCTGTTTATGCCAATGATTTGTTCCCCCTTAATCATAAACTATGAAAAACATTACACATTAAAAGGTTGGTTCCCCGAAATGTAGATTCTCACTTGCTGAACCTCTAAAGGTATAACTAAGGGATGGATACTTTGTGCTGTGTGTCCTTTATTTGTGCTGGATTTTAAAGAAGAAGAAAAAGAAGAAGATATACTTATAATTTATACTTATAAATTACTACCTTTTAAATTCTTGTGCACTTTTATTTTACATTTTGTATTACGTTCAATTATATTAATGAAAGTGCTGCTTTGAGCTAAATGCTAACCTCAGCATGCTAACATGGTCACAATGACTTTTAATGCTTAGCAGGTATAATGTTTACCATGTTCACCATCTTAGTTTAACATGTTAGCATGCTAACATGTAACAGCTGAGGATGATGGGGTTTCATTGTCATTAGTTTTGCAGATATTTAGTCATAAACAAAAGTAAGACTTTGACCTAATGATGGAACCACATTAAATGTTAAGGATTTACCAAAGTGATTTCAATTTATGACAATCCATCCAATACTCCAGTAAAATATTTTCACTCAGAACCACAAATGTGAACCTCATGGTGGTTAGAAGTGAAGTCAGGGGGTCAGCAAAATCATTGGGAGTCATCCTCTGGGGACCGTGAACCAATAGTTGTTGCAATCACTGTACATAAAGTATGGTTGAAATATTTCCGTCTGGAACAAAGTGGAGGATCGACCATTATCCATCCATAGAGCCACGCATTATGCAACATCAACATCTCTTTCCTGAATCAGTTTCCCTGTTACCCTAGATTATTCGCAGACTGTAAACAGTTGTCATCAGAACTACTTTGTACTGAAGAAAAAGTCCCTGCGATGATGAAGTATCAGCAGATATCTCAAAACCTAAGCAAAGAAAAGATGTCTTCATGGTTAGATGCAAGTGATAAAAATGCTTTTAGAATTTGGGTGAACTGACCCTTTAAACAGAAGGAACTGGGAATCAGACTCCTATAATACATGTATTGATACACAAATGTGCATTTTCACAGATCATAATGACTCACCTGTAGCTTCTTCATTACTGGCTGAACAACATGAATCATTGCTCTCCGGTTTATCCTTCTCATCCTCTTTATAGTCGTTATGTTTGAGAACCATTATCTCCTCCATCTCCTCCTCTTCATCAGCCTCATGCTTGTTTTCTTCTTCCTCGTCATCTCCTCTTTCAGACTCTGACATGTGAGGTTTCTCTCTTACATCATCATCATCATTTTCTTTTCCTTTCCATTTTTCTATATTAACATTGCGAAGCTCAACGTCATCTTCTTCATCCTCAGCCTCCTCCTTGGATCCTTGGACTTCCATGCCCACATTGGCTTCTCCCTCCTCCTCTTCTCTATATGTTGCCATGAAGATCTTCATCTCTCCGTCTTCAGCCAGCAGGCTTGTGTGAAAAGCCTTTTTGAAGTTCTCAGTGAAATTCAGGTCAGTCTCAAACCTGACCTTGTTG